CTATGCCTTTTTCGCTTTGCGTTACATTTTTAGCAATTTTTATGAAAGGTTTATTCACATCACTTTTGTGTTTTTAAATTATGCTTTTTAAAAGAATCATATTGTATGGTCAGACTTCAGAGGTAACTTTTTGCCTTTAATATAAAATTTGCAGCAAACAATAACATACTAATCTCACACAAAATAATATTATTACTCATATAATACCAGACAACCTTTATCACGCCACGTAAACACTCGGATCGATAAATATGTGAATTAATATTTAATATGCACTACTGTTACCTTCAAGACACTTATTTATAATTTAAATTGATTTCATTATTTATCATAACCAAAGGTACCTACTGTAGTAAATTTGTATTTTATTAAGACTTCATTGATAATTAAAATTAAATACCACTACATAATAATGAATTATGAACCATAACAGACGGAATACAAAAGAAGAAGTAATACAAAATACTCGCAAAAGCTAGCAAGTATCAACAACAGCTATAAGTTCTTAATAAAAGGAAGTGGGTCAGTGCAATGTATTTTCATTTAATACACATTGCAGTGCTGTAGTCTGCCGACAATCATGATAGGACCATAAAGTTATCTTCTATGGACAAAATGTAGGTTACGGGACCAGTACTTGGATGTACCAAAGAGATGTCACTGGTAACATGTTTCTATTAGTCATCTAATGGCCTGAATGGATTTAGGGATGGTAACATTTAACACAGATTGTATACAGTTTATTTATTGTTCCTTTATATCAGGCAACTGTGGCCCATATAAAATTATAAGACAAAAAAAATATATAAAATAAAACTAAAACAATTAAAATATTAGTTTCTTGATATATAAAATATGGCTAGCTCAATAAAGTCTCATAAGACCGTTGTACACATAATGAAATTACTCATTAATGTTATAAAAGAAAAGATCATCAAGAATGCTTTGTTTGAATTCTGATATTACACTTATAAAAACTAAAAATGAGATTAATTGTTTATCTCATACAACAAAGTTGAAACAATTGTACAGCCAACAAACTGATATATTTTGAAAACAAAACATTCAATGGATTTGTACAAAAATGATTTAATAAATAGCTCTAGGCAGAAAGTGGTGTCAAGGTCAAGTGTATGTATAATTTAGTAGACAGGTTTCTTGTTGTTATGTATGTCAAAACATTATAAAGGCTGTTACAGACATAGCAATGATATATCTTAATATACATATGGTATAGGTAACTCGGAAATTGTTACATCTGTGTATATTTTAAAATGTATTTGAGATAATTTATATTATTTGTTAGGTACCTACATTATTCACAGTTATTATGATATTACGTTTAAAAAAACAGACTTCAAAAATCAAAAAAATTTTAATACTAGTCATTGTACCAAGTACCCATCCACAACACTCATTGATAGTTAAGAATTTGTTACCACAAGCCCATAACAAATTATTTCTTTCCAATCTAGGTAGGCATACATACAAATACACCTAACTAAGTTTTCATAAATGGTTTTGTTTAGTACTTGGGACACTGAGTGTTATGGGTAGGTACTTAGTACAAGGAATAATAATTATTATTTAGGTTTTGATTTTTAATTTTTATTGTGGGTAATTGAGCAACTTGGTACAGTCATATTCTAACAAGATCTTCCACATTATATCAAATGGATAATAAACCTTTTTGTTTACTCCACTGTGCTGTGGTCCTATATAAAGCCAATAAATAATCCAGTCAGTTGTTGCCACACTGTAGGGCCTCATCCATTATCTAATAAAATGTGAACATCATTTTTATACTGACAATATTAAATTTTGCCCTTATCTTATTTTTTATGGTGTTGTCTTTGAAGGTTGGCAATCTTTAAAGCTACCTGATCTGTTTTGTTTCATACATACTCTAAATATTTCAAAAGTAATTTCAAAACAAAAACCTGTGATAATGAGGTATGCAAGCAACAGAAATGTATAAGCATCAAAGCTGGGTTTGGTTACAATTTCAAAAGCACAGATTAAGACAGGCCTGTATTATCCCTAAGGCAAACTAGTGCCTAGGGCGCCACATTGCGACTCCGGTGCAGGTCTCTTTTAGAGGACCTGGTGCCTTCATACAATTGTTGAGGGTGGCCACCGGGGTGGTTTTAGTGAGGTAAAAATCCCACACTCGCTAGTCTTTTCTCCCCAAAAAGCTAGGCGCATTTTGAAGGGTTTCCCCATTATAAAAAAAGGGCGCAATATTGCAGAGGAGCGCCGCGAGACGCGCAGTTTCAAATGCCCATAGAGAGGTGGCGCTAAAATATTAGGGGCGCCAATGAAGTGCTCACCTAGGAGGCGCTGTCTAGATTTAATCTACTTCTGGATTTAGTTTTACAGCAGCATAAAAAAATTAGTACTGTTGATTAAGTCAGTCAGATAAAATAATTAACATAGATAAAAGAACTTTATAGATGTAACAATATGACACATGGCTGACATGGCACACCTCACATGACATCATAGTAGTGTCAAGTAGCAACCTGACTTTAACTATTTAGAAAAAGCACTACACAGCTTTAATTGTCAGTCATTTGATTTAAACTGTCAAACACCAAGCAGTCACCGGTGACCGCAACCTATTGTTCTATAATTGTGTCTACAAAACCGGTACTCGACGAGTTAAACTGTCAAACACCAAGCGGTCACCGGTGACCGCAACCTATTGTTCTATAATTGTGTCTACAAAACCGGTACTCGACGAGTTAAACTGTCAAACACCAAGCGGTCACCGGTGACCGCAACCTATTGTTCTATAATTGTGTCTATAATGACGGTACTCGACGAGTTAAATATGTTTGTTATCAGTCAGTTGTACATAAGGAAAATCTCTTATTGGCAAGCGTTTTGTAAAAATTCTTACAAAAATTGTTAGGTTTTAAAATCCTCTTGTCATACTCACATCATTAATCTCTTCCTTCATGGGACTTTGAACATATTCAGATATGAATGTATAAAACATGTCACATCATGGAACAGACAATCTAAAAGTTCATGACAATAATTAATTTATTAGATTTAGAGAGAGCTTCTACAAAATTCTTATTCAATGCCAAATGTGATTTTTAGAAACTCTAATTAATATATTCACTTAATAATTTTGTTCTAATTTGTATAATAAATGTATTAGAAAGCACTACATTAGTTTGAAGTAGGTAGTTAATGCAGTTTCTATATTATTGGACCAAGGTACAAAAAATCTTATGTTGCAGATATGGGGTAGATGTGTTTTTAAAATCAAATAAACATAATGCAAACACTTCAAACTAAAAGACAAAACATGCGTGTGATAAGCATGTGTCATGATTTATACAGTATCACCAAAAGATTTCAAGAAATCATAACAAATGAGGTTTTATGTTGCACAGTTTGCAAAGGGCAATAAAGTAATTACCCTTTGCAAAAGGGCTGCCTAATTAACACTGATCAATAGTAGGTCAGTAACTTCAACGCAGCCTGGCGTTTAGATGCCCTCGCAAAATTGGACCTTGTTAGCAAAGATTAGTCATCAAAAATGAATAAGTTATCAAAATATTGCAAAGTCCCGGAACCATTACAGTCTTATAAGATGGCAAAGAGATTTTTTTTTATCACGGACCAAACTAATAAAATCCAATTCCTTAGTCACGGCAACTTATTACAAAAAAATACATTAGAATAGATCTCCGAAGCGGAAAATGGCGTTACATTTTTACGGTTATATCTTTGTTATGTTCATAGTTTTTCATATAATTTTTACTGGAACTTATACCTGAGTAATAAATCTAGATAAAAACATACAAATATAGTTAAAATATCAAGATTAATCTATAAAAAATCACTCACCTTTCTAATTATTGACAGCAACACACAGCACTAGAAAATTCACTGTTGCCAATGCTACCAACATAAATGTCAAAATGATTTTGAAGCCCATGATGTGATGTTGTAATATTGTTAAGTTTTGTTTAATTGACTACAAAACAATATTATTCTAAAATATTTTTAGTAACAGAATAAACTCAGATAATAAAACAAATTGTACTTATTGGAGATTTTTTTTAAAAGTTTTAATTTTACTTGATTCCAAATATAAAATTAATTACTGACCTGGCTTGTAGGCACTAGCAACTAAACGTAGGCATACTAAACTGTCTAGCTGTCTACTACTGCAATCATCAATGTCGTAGTGTCATCTGTCATACAAAAATTGTATTGCATACATTTGAAAGTATGCATTCTGCATAACAAACTTTATTTCTCTCGGAATTTGATTTGTTTATTCTTCTGAAAACTCTTTCTTCTTTGTTGTGGTAATCATCATCGGAGAAAGGCTTCTGTCAAACATACAAATCCTATTTATTTGGAAAATTGGAAAATGACATCAATGCCATTCAAATAATTGTACTTAATTGAGAATTTTGAGTGCAGTTTTATCAAATTTAAATAAAGAAGGTCGATAATAAAAATAGACAGTTAACAAATTCGTTCTTACTCAATGACACATTCAGTAAAGGCAGAAATATATGAGGGCGGCGCTACGTATTGAGGTCATAGCGCGGCAGAATAAGTACATTGATTTTGTAAACACATTTACATCGGTTTCTTTCATTATTTAGATAGCTTAGAGGCACACCTTGTATGTTAATCCAGACCATATTTCATACCAGTTATAGCGATTGGTGGATTCCCCTATACTTATTATATACTCTTTGTTGGTGGACAAACAACGCCGCGGCGCCTTTAATGTGTTCATTTTGAAACTAACTTCATTCCTATCATTTCTGAACGACAGGACACAGGAGCATACAACTGATAGATATAGACGTCATTGCATTGATAAGTTGTCAAACTTTGGCAGCGACTGGTTGTGATTGTGATCTTGTGAAAATAAAAATAAAATAAATCCAGGTTTTTATCAATACAATTTATCAGAAAAATTAGCTAATCCTGTCTGCTTATTGGGGTGCTATTATAACCAATATTTTCATTTGTGCCGTCTTCGATAACACGACAATTTCACTAACTTACTGCATGATCATTAAACTATTTTTACTGATTATCGACTATCCGCTTTGTTTATTGTAACAGAAATGAATAGTTTCGGTGTGGGGTTATATTTTCTGACGATGCTGTGGTGTTTAACGTTAATGTTGTGTTGGGTTTCGGTTCGTACGGGGCATATTATCGGTAAAATTGCCGTAGTGGTAACTTCATTCGTTACATTGGTTTTGGTATTATTGCCAAAAGGCGAGTCGTATAGTTCGAGCAGTGCCAATTTTTACGACAAGCTGTACGTACCGCGGTTTTTGATACTCGTGTTTCTGGCTGTATGTGCGATAGTCGGGGGTCTATTCGCATTAGTTCACGTTTGCCTTACACCCGTACAGACGCGTAAAGTCAGAAGTTTCTAATGTTTCATTTTGGTAAGTTCTTAGTTCAGTTTGGTTTGCGATGTTGATTTTATTTGTATTTTTTGTTAAGTTAGAGGAGTTGAGTATCTGTCGTATTTATGATACAGTTGGTTTTTACTTTTTAGTTGGAATTTAATCAAAAGGATAGTTATAGTTGGTAAATAAATACTAAATACTTAACCTACATGAAATGCACTAATCATCTATTAACCATTAACCCATTAAGTATATTTTCTTATCACTATAAAACAAAATTAAACAATTCATTAATACCCATGGTACATCATTATCAGATTGCTTACAATGCCTATTATATCTCGGCACGTAGCTGCTATCAGATACTATTATCTAAGCTTATAAGACATCTGCAAAATGTGTGTTATGTCAGAACATGTGTCTGTATGAGCAAACACACATGTCAGGTGAAGCTTGGCATTGACATTCATGAGGAATGCCCCACATCTTTTGTTAACATTGCCAGATTTGCTAATCTATCATAATTACAAAAAAAATCAACAATGTATCATATTATATATTTGATTTTTAGTTCTTTAGAGATGATAATATTTTATATTTATTTTATTATGAACAATATAATATATTACACTTAACATTATAATGATTTTCTCTTTATGACTTTACTATAAACTAAGTCTTGTCACACTAACTTATTGAAGTCACAGAGAGAAATCTTTTCTTATTTATTTACTTATTATATCTTTAATGACATTAATATTTGTTTGTTACAAGACTCATAAAGCTTTTTATTTGAAATTAATGAAATCTATTCACTTATCTATTCTAGAAACTGAATATAACCTTTGTTCTTAAGAACACCAAAACTGTAGATTTAAGTTTATATGTAATGTCAGAGAGAGGTCACAGAATTTTATTTATAAAATCAAAAAATTAAAACATGAATCATCTTAAAATAAATCTTGTTATTAGTTATCATATTGTGTTTAAGTGTATAGTAAACACACTGGAATGTTGACACTGTTTATTTAAAAAAGCAGATAAAGCTTGGGTTGAATAAAACATAGTAGCAATTGTTTCCACTTTGTCAGGATAAAGGTGCTTCCTCTCCAGGAGCATTCACATGTAATGTAACATTATAGATTCAACTTTGAGCATTACATTACAATAACACCTCCTTGACTAACGAGCATTTGCGTGTAATGTAACATATATGTGGCTTGGACTTTGAACATTTCATAGCAAGATGTCAGACATTGATGTTACAAGTTCTATCAAGATATGTCACATTGTATTATAACAAGGTGTGCATTGTAAAGCTCGGTTCAGATCTGTAACATAACATTAAATGCAAATGCTGCCGGTGAGGGAGCACCTTTATTTTATATCATACTTGCTTTTGCTAGTAGCTTCCTCTGCGGTTCCATTCCGATAAAAATAAGCCTATGTTTTATTCCAGATCATAATCCAGCACTGTACCAAATTTCATCCCAATCCCATCAATACTTATTGTGTGAAAGAGTATCAAACACACACCCACATACATCCTCACAAACTTTCCCATTTATAATATTATTAAGATTGTAATGTTTGTTTCTATGTAATGTGTATAACAACAATATTATACACCCAAATACTCAAATACTAGTTAATTTTAAGTTTTTCTTAAATATTGTTCTGTCTCTGTCATTTTACTAAGAATTTGTATTGCTGCCTCGTTGGCCAATTGGTCGCGTCTACGACTGCCGGTCAAGGTGTCTTGGGTTCGATTCCCGGGTCGGGCAAAGTATTACTGGGGTTTTTAAAAAAATCTCAGTAGTAGCATGTAGAGGTATATGGCAATAGGCTCACCCCATATTACATGGGACTCATAACATAAAAGGGATAAAAGGCGTGATGTTATGTATTGACAGAACTATTAATGAAATGATGAAAGTGACCTAAAATTGAGTGGTGTTTGAATATTTGACCATTAATAACTAGGTAGTATTGTAGTATGGTATAATTTTAATAAACAATAAAATAATATGTGCTTGTGCCTACTAATCTTTATGGGTATTTTATTGCATGTATATTTGTATTAGTAAATGTTATTTCTTATAATAACTATCGTGATACTAAATTAATTCAAATCGCGGGTTACTCACGTGAATATATTGAGAAAAGCTCTACTTTCGAACCACTTCCACGGTCACGGCGCCGCGACCGCCGCTCACGAGGAAGAACCCCTCTGTGGTTCGAAACTAGTAGAGCTTTTCTTAGTATATTCACGTGAGTAACCCGCGATTTGAATTAATTTAATGATATTGTTAGAACTTTTCTAAAAAATTATTGTTTATTAATTGACCAACTTCATTTATTTATACACTACAATCAAACCCAGAAATCATTGTATTAAATGATTCTGCGAAATTTTAGCTCTATAAAGTAATACTAATGTGTATTTTATTGTTTCAGCCAATATGTCTAATGCAATATGTCAGAGTCTGCGGTCACCAATAAAGCGCTTGGCCAATCTCCGCCGAGCCTACCCCATATCTACGTCCCTTGTACACAATGAGACTATACTAGTTAAAAATAACGACGAATTCGTCAATAAGGTGTGTATAAACTCAAACTCAAAAGCATTTATTTTAATTAAACCATAATTTGGTACTTTTGAAACGTCAACATATCAATACATAGTATAAAACAAAGTCGCTTTCGCTGTATGTCCGTATGTATGCTTAGATCTTTAAAACTACGCAACGGATTTTGATGCGGTTTTTTTTAATAGATAGAGTGATTCTTAAGGAAGGTTTGTATGTATGATACATGTATATTGCACCCGTGCGAAGCCGGGGCGGGTCGCTAGTATGAAATAAATAATAGTGTGTCAGCCTGTCCGTCAGTGAAGCTAGGCGCTCGTTCCAAAAGGTCGATTCGAGTGGAGAAGAACGATTAAGAAACTCCATTCGTTACTCTTTAAAATATATATATATATATCTTGCTTGCGGTGCTAAAAAGCCCTATCCAATAGATTTTTTCTTTTAATTTAAACTATTATGGTATTACTTTTCCATTTTCTAGCTAAGTTGTTATGTTAAATGAAAATTGAACTTAATTTTGGGTTGTGTAAAATCGAAAAAATTAAATTCTTGAATACAGAATTAACACAGAACTTATTTGCTTAGCTGTTTCGGGTATGTCCACAGTCTTAATGCAGATAACAGATAATTAATTTTTAATTACTTTTAAGTTGTTTGTGTATATTTGTTTCTTCAGAATCTTAACTCGTCGAGTACCGGTTTTGCAGACACAATTATAGAACAATAGGTTGCGGTCACCGGTGACCGCTTGGTATTTGACAGTTTAATGGTTAATGTTCATTATCTCGTAATGAGATAGATCGGTGATGAATAAACAAACAAGGATATGAATATAGCATAATAATACTATTAAGATTGCCTGATTACTTCATTAGCAAATTTGTCTTCTCTGAATCCCCGAGTACACCGGTGTCCTCTCGTCACTCACTCCATTATAGACTTTATTTTCGATGTTTAGAGACTACTTTTGTATGAACGAATTTTGTTATTAAAAACGTACCACTTACCAGTTGCAAGTGGTTATTCAAACTACATAGTGACAGTTCAATTAGAAAACTGTAGATTTGTGATAACCTTGGGATCTTTATTACCATAATATGATTAAAATAATTTCATATTAATAAAAGGCGTAACCACTGCTTATCTCCATCTCCTACCATCACTACATAGTATAAAACAAAGTGGCTTTCCGCTATCTGTCCCTATGTACAGTGGGGGTCAGATCCGCCTGATCATTTTAAATATTGCTAGAAGCCGGTAAAAACATCAAGTCATATCCGATAAATATCTCAACTAATAGAAAAGCGGTAATGACGCAACCCGTGTAATTCCTTAGTCAGTGGTGCGTTCCGGCCACATGCGCCGACGCAGGACCCACTCTCCACCCTGCTTCATTCGTCAATTCAATGTCATGGGGTGGGGTTAGTGAGCGGATCTCATCAGGCACGATACAATCAAATGTAAACTTAGTGGTGGTCAGGCGAGTGTGTTCCTGCCTCCCAGTTGTACCTGCTAACTGTAACTTGTTGTACCTTACCTGCTAACTGTAACCCCGTTGTAACTTTTAAAGATCTACATCTTTAGAAGTACGCAACGGATTCAAGAAGAAGGGATATATTTAAATACCTATAATAATTTGAGGCATGCGAAGCCGGGGCAAAAGTTAGTTGAGAACATATTTACACACTTATATTAACATAGTGAGTTTATTATTTTAAAAAACCCCAGCGAGATTTTTACAACTGATGGCACATTTTATTTTAATGTTTTTCCTGTCTAAATCATCCGATCATAGTCACCATACCTACTTAATAAGCCCTTGTGTAAATATGTATCAAAATGTTTAAATATACTTGATGACGTCACGTTAATGACCTCATCTGTTTGCCGTGAGGTCATCATTATGATGTCATTAAAGTCTCAGAATTTCGTTCTCTAAGATGTCATGTCGATTCATGTAATAGAGATCAAAATGGGGTGTTAGTGTTACATTTAATAAGGACACTTCTGCCGAGTCTTTCAAAGAATATCAAGCGCGAACAAGTATGTATGACAACAAAACCTCAAGTTTCAATTGAATCGAACTCAAATCCCCAAGTATCCTCAACGTTCAAACAACAAGACAAAGGTATGCAACCTTTGTCTTTGTAAAAGTATGTAAAAGCAAGTTAATTTAAACCGACCATGAGTTACTTAACAGGTAAAACAGAACCGTTTATGTTGAATGGTCTTGAAATTACTACAAATACGTAACGTTGTTATCTTTATAGTAAGATAAGTCTTGATAATAAAGCAAATAGTATCACGACGTGATTGATAAGTGATAGCAGAAATATCTTTGAAGGTACCTTAGTACCTCAGTATTATTTTTCTTATCAATCAATCTATATCAACCGATAAAAACCAGTAAGTAAATTGTTCTGTTAAATGGTTGAAAAACAATTAAAAAACTTAATTGATTAATGTATATATCGGCAAATATCGAAATTAAACAAGAGAAGCAAGTATTTATAAAGAATAATTACTTATTCGCTTTTTTTTAAGGGGGGAATATTCAATGACTTTTACCTCCTTGGGTAAGGTAAGAAGGAGTGTCAGACTCTTACTGACTAATACCACACCATTCCTACTCCTGCTCTTCGAGCTGGAACCCCGGTAACCCATTAAGTCCTCCGCGGCTTCACTGCTGCCGTCAGCCGTACTGATCTCCATCTGTGATGGCCTGATGGCTCATTGAGGCGACGCTTGGGATGACTTATTCGCGTAAACTATCCTAACTAATCACTATATTATGTACACTGGCGAAAATCGAATAAAAATTCGTTTAGCAGTTTTCTCTATCGAATAAGTAGTCCCTTAGGGCGGGGACTCATCTGAGGTATCGCACCGGCCGTGCCTTGTGTGGTGGGGAGCGCACCGCTCCCTAGTTAATGTTTTGTTTTAAGTAACGCCTTATGACACTATCAGACAGCATATAAATCCCCAAAATTAGTCAGCTGTTATGATATCCACTCAAATATTGAAGGTTTATTGTAAAACTAATAAGAAAACAGCATAATGCTCGTCAAACTTCCCACCCGAATGGACTTTCAACTCTGCGCGGGAAACTTTACTAGTCTGTCACATTTGACAGATGACATCATCAACATGACAGCTAGTGCTGTCGATAACAGATTATACTAGTGACGTTCTTTTAATTGACGACTCACCGTCGAACACTACCAATTAATAATATTCCATTTTCAGGTTATGAACAGCGACAAGCCAGTGATAGTGAACTTCCACGCGGACTGGTGCGAACCCTGCAAAATCCTGACTCCGAAGCTGAAAGAGCTGATCGAGCCGCTGAACAACCTAGACCTGGCTGTCGTTGATGTAGAGGATAATGCTGACCTGGTGCACACGTTCGAGGTGAGAACTTTGGAATATTGTTTTTACATAATGTACCTACCACACTTAGAAAACAATTTAAAGGGAAATTTTAATTTCAGTCCGTTTAAATATCTTGTCGTCTAGCTTTCGTACCTTATCTTAACTAGTGATTTATTAGAAATGGAAAGAAAATACAAAGCAGCATGATACGTTTCAGTAAGTCGACCGGCGCCTATCACTATCATTTAAAATCATTTTAACCTTGAGTTACTCTTCAAATTCCAGGTGAAAGCAGTACCCGCAGTAATAGCAATAAAGAACGGCATCATAGTGGACAAGTTCATCGGGTTGGTCGACGCGGACATGATCACAGGACTCATAGACAGAATGGCCGGTAAGAAAAAGGAGAGCGCGTAGACACCACAGATTATTTCTAAGTAGAGATGTCAGCCTGTGATGCTCAAAGAAGGATTGTTAGCTTTATAGACTCCTTGTTTAAGGAGCGGGTATGGATATTATTAGAAACTTTTTTTAACGATTTAATCATATGTTTAATCCGTGGGTGCGTTCACAAACACATATTTACATACACATCACACACATAATCGAAACAACAATTTATGAATCACATAAAGAATTGTTTTGTGCGAAAAATTTGCAACACGTTACGCAGCTGCTAGTCGCCCAGCAACTGTACCAACTATGCAAATAAACTTGATCAAAATGTGATAAAAACTATCATATTGTTTTTCATTAAGCCTTTTTCTAAGTATAACTAGGCTTTGTGTGCACTTGTACAGCTGCCACTGAATTCTTACTTGAATAAGTCACATGTATTTCTTAATGGAGCAACTGCTACCAGCCTTCCAGTTTTTTGATAAAAGGGTCAAACTGTTAATTTAATATTTTGACCAGACTGACTATTTTATCTTTGTCTCACTCTTACATCATGATAATATGATATTTAGTGCAAGTTTAATTTTGTTATTTTGTAATTAAGGTATAAAAAAAAAGTTTGGAATATTGACAATTTTATTTTTAAATTCAAAAGTAACTTGTCTATTTTATTCGGTTTTTGGAACGGAAAAATGTTATTAAAACACGCGCTGACGTCTCAATTTGTAAATAATATAAAATTAATATCTTTTGTAGTCAACATTAATAAGACAATTTTATTTTTTATTATTTTATTCTGTTTTATCTATACAGTCAGCATCAAAAGTTTGAAGGAAGAACTTGCCAAATTTTGTGACAATTCTATATATAAAAAAATAAAATTATAACAATATAATACATATATATGTATTCTAAATTAGTAGATATTGTTATAGGACAATAAATTCTCGAAGCTGTGATACTTTTATCTAAAATTATAATTGTAACACTTATGATGCTAACTGTATTATTTGTTTTTCAATAGTCTGAAATTATATTTCGTTTTGTTTGTTTTCTATGATATAGGGGGAAAGTACCATAACGCCGGATGGCACCACCTATTACCGGACACTTGTATTATCTCGATAACTAATAACGCGAGCGATTCAATTTTTAGGGGGAAGTCTCCCAGTAGCAGTCACCTAAGATTTTTAGTAAAAATTGCATCGCTCGTTATCGAGATAATACAAGTGGCCGGCGTTAGGTGCCGTCCGGCGTTACGAGACTTTCCACTAAATAGAAATATTCAACAATATGTTAGGAAAACTTAGTATAACCAGATTTGTAATCAGTAAAAATGCCACTACATTGCTGGATTAGCTTTACTCTATAGTCTGTACAACTATCGAGAGTCTTGATGTAAGAATTTTTATTGCGAAAATGTCGATACTTTAAAAATAAATGCTTTAAATTAAAAATGAACATAATTCTATTTTTACTTCTATCTTTGCAATTCGTTTACTACGTCTACTTTCGCCATTTGCATTTGCAATGAAGTTTTCATAACATATTGTATTTTATACACTAGTAAACTCGAAGCTCATAGGCTATTTGCAGCTTATTTTTATGTACATAGAATATAATTTTGCACATCACACTATTTTTATTTATATAGCACTCTTTGTTTTTATTTTCTGTTTATAAGTAGACATGGCTATACACCAAGCTATGCGCAACCAGTATAAACTGAACGTTTAATGTACAGAAAGATCCATACAAAGCAAGGCCTTGATAAATTGGTTATATATACATAACCAGTACGTATATATGTCGTGGAGGCCAGAGGCCTTAGTACGAGTTTGTTTTACGTTTACGTTTAATCGTAACGAGTACGCGTTCGGCGCTCTGATTGGTTGCTTCATTGGCGCCGGCTCTCACTCGTTACGAATACTTTAAACGTAAATGAAACTCGTACTAAGCACTCTGGAGGTTTAAGACGCCCGCTGCTCATGCATGAGGGCGCGGGTTTCGAAATCTATCTAATGTGACATTTTCCGAGTTAAATGTACTTTCTAAGATTACATATTTAGACACCACTGACAAACGGTGAAGGAAAACATCGTGAGGAAACCTGGACTTTATAATTTTTAAGTTTGAAATCGCCAACCCGCAATGAGGAAGTGTGGTGATTAATGCTCATACCTTCTCCGTGTGAGACCGGCCTTTGGTCAGTAATGGGCTCTTATAGACTGTTGATGGGATGTGTATGACAAATATAAACTGACTGTCGAATATGCCTAAAGATCATACAAAACGAGGTCATGATAAGCTGGTTTTGTATAGCTTGATATTCATGCCGATATGCTTTAGCGATACTGATGATATTTTGAAAAGTTTTCGTGAAATCGAGAATTGAATTTGTCTTTTACAGAGTGAAATGATTCAACAGCAGCATATTATTAAATAATTCTTATTTAGTATTTATTACACCTGTGTATGTGTTAACTATGACAGCTTTTGAGGTTTTCCATCATTTGGGGTCATCCATACAGTACTTCACACGTAGTTGGCAAAAATGGGAAGTTTCGTGACTTCACATTTCGAAATCTATAAATCTAGAGGTAATAAATCGCCGTAAAATAAAAAAAATCCAATTCTATCTTTATGACAATACGGTTTAAATTGTTTTGTTGATGAGTTCACACCCGGTCTAGTGGCACGGGCCATATAATGTTGTTTTCATAAAAACGTTCTTAATTTAAATGGTAATAAAACTTATTTCGGTACTGCTGTTTTAATTTAATAATTTATCTATGTGAAATTGCAAAACATGTGACGTCACACTTTGGTCAAAAAATCATTAAATTCGTGTGACGTACTTTATGGATGGCCCCTTGTCTTGTCTGTGACACTATGGAACCAATTCATTATTGTAACAGTTTTATGAATTCGGATTTATAATCAGCATGCTAAAGTCGATATTTCTTTGACGCACTTCAAGCTTGTACATGGAAAACCTCTTATTTAATATTATATTATGAATTAAACTGATATTTTAAATGAAAACTTATATAAACACTACTGTACCCGTTTTTTCAATATTTAGAAGAATATTTGAGGTGGTTTACACCTTGCCTTAGTTATAGGTACATTATCACACTTATATTATAAATGTGAATGTTTCTTTGTCTGTATGTTTGTCCGTCAATCACGCTGAAACTACTGAACGGATTTTGATGAAATTTGGTATACAGGCAAGGTATGGGCTGACTTAGACATGATACTTTTTATCCCGATTAAATGCCGAAAAAACAGGAATACGCGGGAAAAGCCGCGGGAAAAAGCTAGTATGAAATATTTCTTATCTTTATAACATGTTATTGTTCCTATGTTAGTTAATTCTATTGTTATATTTATTCAATGTTTACTAAGGTTGGACCACACTATTTTCAAGACTGACTAAAGTTTGTTGTGATGGAAAATATTTCAGTAAACATAAAATAATGTGGCACAACCTTTATCATATAAGAAAATTTTGAAAATTGTATTAAAATAAGAGTTCTATGTTTAATCGGTTTGCTAATTCGTTTGTTTACAATATTAGGCCTAGTTTGTCTGATTTTTTAAGTGTAAAAAATATATTTTTTCTATGAATTGTTTTTTTTTATTTCTGCACTCTTTCTCTTTCTAGCACGCTGTCTGTCCTTTTCTTTTGGTTGTAATTAGTGCACGATTGGGTTTTAGATATGTAACACTAACGACCGAATATTGAAAGGCTACTCAATTTTAAGTTCTTCTTAAAATATCGTGCCATCTCTGTCATTTTACATAGAAATTGTAGCGACAGAAGTAAGCACGGCTTAAAATTGTGTAGTCTGTAAGTTTTTGGGCGTAAATCTGCGCAACTGAACATATCTTGGCTTCGCTGTCTAAGCCTGCCTTCTCTCTTACTTCTAACTTCTAATATAGCCTGAGGGCTCAGTACGGGTTTCTTTTAAAGTAATCGAAATGAGACCGCGTTCAACGCTCTTGTTGGCCCGCTCTAGTGAACCAACCAATCAGCGCCGAATGCGGTCTCGTTTGAACTTGTACTAAACCTTCTGTAATATCTCAGCACTGACATTTAATATAAACTTAATATTCAGATATTTTTACCTATAGATTATACATCTACACAATACACATACATAATATTATCTATTTCAATATACAATGATATGTATGTATTTATAAAATATTTATCATTCGAAATGCCTATATATATTTTTAAAAGCTATCAACTATAGCAGAAATATATTTTTAAATTTCACTTTTTCACTGTAGTATATACTTTTTTATACACGTATCTGATACTGAAATGACCAAAATGTGCGTCAGAAAACAAACGATGTCTAGGCGCCTAGTTCTATGGTTTCTTTCGCCCATACGCAATTATAGTTATTGAGTACCTACACAACTTGTACGATTCAACTTGAACTTAGATCCAGAGACAAACTAGAATACAAACACCAGCCAAGTGCGAGTGAGACTCGCATGCAAAGGAGTTCTTACTTATTATGTTTAAAAAGAAAAAAATCAAGAGCAAAAAAAAAGTAGTCTATTTAAACTTTTGTTTCGACGCACTTTTTGTACCTCATAAATACATAATTATACATACTAGAAAATAAAATCACTGAGTATTTTTCTACATTTATATTTTATCTATCTTCTATATCTAAGTGTAGGTTATTTATCTACCACTTTTTACTTCATATGGGTAACTTGTATCACTATTCTTATGCATTTTATTACATTTGTGGCTGCAACTGCATGCAAGTATTAATAACTAGAAAAACAAAGACTATATCTTGCTCTAGGATTCTATTCAAAACTTATGATAAATATAACAATAACTTTGATCTAGTAAATGTAAATTCAAATTGAACTTTAGATGAAAGGACGGAAGGAAGGGTGAAAATCATTTAGGTATTCATTTTTTTATCATACTTTTCATCTATATTCGTATCTATAAACTCAGAAGTCGAAAGATTACACCTATTCCTTATAACTGGATTAAAGGTAAATTTACCGAGAAAAGCTCTATTAGTTTCGAGTCACAGAGGGACTCTTCCTCCTGAGCAGCGTGCGCGGTCGCGACGATGTCGCGCAGTCTACTGTGACTCGAAACTAATAGAGCTTTTCAGTATACTTACGTGAGTAACTCGGAATTTTAAGTCAAATAGTTAATTTCATGTCTCACGATATTTATTATAAGACATGGATGATAAGTATTTACTATTCAGGTTCAAAGTCTAAAAAACTTTATTAACCGGTGTATGTCGGTCTGTTCGATTCGACAGTTACCTATCTCAACAAGTAAATGTTATGAACTATACTTCTAATATATAAGCAAAGCAACAGTTTGTACACGATTTCAAAGTCTGTCCTAATTTTCACCCCCCTTTCCCCTAAAATATAGAAGATTTTACAATGTTATAATAAAAATAGTGATTGAACATCTGAATGTTGTAGTTGTAGTCGTAAAACCATATGTTAGGTGCTTCTTAAGTCCATCCTAATATGTCCATGCTTAGAAATTTAATTACGCTGTGTTAGAGTAAATGTGAGCAGTCAATAGCAGTGTGTTTGCAATTTTAATGCGGGATTTGACCATTTGGTTCAATACTACAATTATCCAAGAATCTAGAAGTAAAAGTTTTGTGAATTAATATTTGACATTGACCTTATTCACATCTAATCAGGACCATATTTGTGCATATTAGAGGGCGCTTATGTAGCTTTTAGTCCTGTCCAATGTCCAATCACTAGCTATCAAAAAATTAATACCTAATGAACAACAACCCTAAGTTCTTACTATCAATAAATGTATTATATAATAGAAAACCCTTAGAATAATTATGCATTAAAATGGTAAACATTCGCAGTTTGTTTTGCTCACAGAGCTTCGTGTCATGTGAATGTATACGCATTATGCAAACCTTAGGTAGCTTATAATGTCGAGCTTAGATATACAAAATGTCCTACAGGCCATATTTGGGTCCATTCATAGATTAGATGACCAGAATTTGCTTAGATTTTAAATATTGTATTAAGAACCTGTAACGACTTTCTAGCAACTACTTAGAATTTGTGTTTTTTAATTATTTAAGAGGTCTCAAAGTAGGTACCTTACTACATCGCTCAGTATGACAACAGCCTTTA